CACGGTGGGAACCACACATGCGGAGCTCATCCGTTCACCTACTCTGCGTCTCACAAAGACACGGCGGTTGGAACCAAAAATCTCAAATTTGGACTCATCAGACCAAAGGACATATTTCCATCGGTCTAATGTCCATTGCTCGTGTTTCTTGGCCCAAATAAGTCTCTTCTTCTTATTGGTGTCCTTTAGTAGTGGTTTCTTTGCAGAAATTCGACCATGAAGGCCTGATTCAAGCAGTCTCCGCTGAACAGTTGATGTTGGGATGTGTCTGTTACTTGAACTCTGTGAAGCATTTATTTGGGCTGCAATCTGAGGTGCAGTAACTTTAATGAACCTCTCCTCTGCAGTAGAGATAACTCTGGTTTTTGAAACTACACGTGAAGAAACGTTCAAAGTTCTGGACATTTTCCGTATTGACTGACCTTCATGTCTTAAAGTAATGATGGACTGTCGTTTCTCTTTGCTTATTTGAGCTGTTCTTGCCATAATATGGTCTGCATACCACCCCTACCTTGTCAAAACACAACTGATTGGCTCAAACACATTAAGAAGGATGAAATTCCACAAATTAACTTTTAAGAAGGCACACCTGGTAATTGAAATGCATTCCAGGTGACTACCTCATGAAGCTGGTTGAGAGAATGCCAAGAGTGTGCAAAGCTGTCATCAAGGCAAAGGGTGGCTACTTTGAAGAATCTCAAATATAAAATATATTTTGATTTGTTTAACACTTTTTTGGTTACTACATGATTCCATTTGTGTTATTTAATAGTTTTGATGTCTTCACTATTATTCTACAATGTAGAAAATAGTCAAAATAAAGAAAAACCATTGACTCTGTACCGGTACCCCCTGTATATAGCCTCCCTACTGTTATTTTATTTTACTGCTGCTCTTTATTTATTTTTTATTTTTAACTTATCTATTTTTTACTTGTTGGTTAAGGGCTTGTAAATAAGCATTTCACTGTCAGGTCTACACCTGTTGTATTTGGCGCATGTGGCAAATACAATTTGATTTGATTTGAATGAGTAGGTGTGTCCAAACTTTTGACTGGTACTCTTGTAACATGTCCACTGGAACCAGAACTAGCAACAACAACAAATTGCCTGCGCAGCCATATTGGTCTGCTTATACAGAACTAGTAAAGGCCCAGTGCATTACTTTTTCAAGAAATAAAGTCATTTATTTTATTGTATTTTATTTATATTTTTATTCAGATTTTTCAGGCTATGCCCCTAGTCGTTTCCTGCACTGGTGCCTCAGCTGTGGTTGAGATGCACTCTGTAGTTTATGTAGGTGAGTGAGAGCAACTTCCATTTGTTTTCTGATTGTCAGCGCTTTCTCCAGTGTCTGATCATTGGTCTGTAACAACAATTTCTCCCTCAGTGGAGCACATTATGTGTTTTTCAAAGAACTGATCATGTACACATTTGTTTTCGAGTGGTCCCACAAGCTCTCTCAACAAGGAGACAAACTGTGCTATGGTCTCACCCGGCAGTTGAGCTAGTTGTCTGAAGAGAAAACGGTACATGATCAAACTGCGTGAGCCACTGTAGTGTTCCTCCACAGCTTGAACCACCGATGTAAACTTATCATCCACCGGCTGTAGAGTGGAGAAGACTCGTTGTCCCTCGCAGAGACTGGGGTAGGATCGCCCGTTTGCGTGCATCTTTAGCTCCATTCAGATTGATAGCTACCATATACAACTGGAACAGATTGATAGCTACCATATACAACTGGAAGGATTGAAACCAGCCAGCTACCATATACAAATGGAAGGGTTGAAGCCAGCCAGTGATTCCATGGTACAGGTTGACATGGCCGCGGGAAGTAGTTTGGGGATGGGGGTGCTGCGAACTTTTGCCTGCACTGCTCTATCGGTCCACTAATACAGGACTATTAAAGTTCCAGTGCACTACTTTTGTGAAACGTATTCTTTCATAAAAAAATAAATATATATGACAAAACAAATTTTAGGGGGGGGGGGTTTCTGCAGCACCCCTACTTCCCGCGGCTATGCAGGTTGATCTCCGGGTATGGGGAGAAACGGTGATGGTGAAGGTGAGCTCAACTCGGCCATCCTCATTGCCAAATGCTACAAATGGGAGGCTTGTTGTGCAATTCAACTGAACCTCTTTACTTCAGATCAGCATGATAGCAACTCGTACAAACTCGTGTGACACTCACACATCCGTGCATGCACACCGTGCATGATACATTCTTAAACTTTAATATATAAAATATTGGACAAAACGTGTTGAATAAAAAAATCCAGACAGGTGATTTGGTGCCATTATTGACTAGGGATTAACATTGACCTGTTTGTGACCTTTCTGACCTTTTGCGATAACTTGAAACTAAGATATCTCAGCAATGGTAAGTCATATCCTCATAAAATAGTGTTTTGTATTCTGACGAATTTATGAACATTTTGTGTTGGTGGGGAGGGGGGTGTATGATGGGGTCTTATTCTCAATAGATCCTATGTATTTACACTACATTGACAAAAGTATGTGGACACCTGCTTGTTGAACATCTCATTCCAAAATCATGGGCATTCATATATTTTGCTGCTTTAACAGCCTCCACTCTTCTGTGAAGGTTTTCCACTAGATGTTGGAACATTGCTGCAGGGACTTACTTCCATTCATTCACAAGAGTATTAGTGAGGTCGGGCACTGATGTTGGGCGATTAGGCCTGGCTCGCAGTCTTCGTTCCAATTCATCCCAAAGGTGTTTGATGGGGTTGAGGTCAGGGCTCTGTGCAGGCCAGTCAAGTTCTTCCACACCGATCTCGACAAACCATTTCTGTATGGACCTCGCTTTGTGCACGGGGGCATTGTCATGCTGAAACAGGAAAGGGCCTTCCCCAAACTGTTGCCACAAAGTTGGAAGCACAGAATCATCTACAATGTCATTGTATGCTGTAGCGTTAAGATTTCCCTTCACTGTTAAGAGTTCCCTTCACTAGCCCGAAACATGAAAAACAGCCTCAGACCATTATTACTACTACACCAAACTTTACAGTTGGCACTATGTATTGGGGCAGGTAGCGTTCTCCTGGCACCGCCAAACACAGATTCGTCCGTCGGACTGCCAGATGGTGAAGCGTGATTCATCACTCCAGAGAACGCGTTTCCACTGCTCCAGAGTCCAATGGCTGCGAGCTTTACACCACTCTGGCCGACGCTTGGAATTTCACATGGTGATCTTAGGCTTGTGTGCGGCTTCTCGGCCATGGAAACCCATTTCATGAAGCTACCGGCGAACAGTTATTGTGCTGACATTGCTTCCAGAGACAGTTTGGAACTCTGTAGTAAGTGTTGCAACCGGGGGACAGACGATCTTTACGTGCTTCAGCGATCCCGTTCTGTGAGCTTGTGTGGCCTACCACTTCGCGGCTGAGCCGTTGTTGGTCCTAGACGTTTCCACTTCACAATAACAGCACTTACAGTTGACCAGGGCAGCTCTAGCAGGGCAGAAATTTGACGAACTAACTTGTTGGAAAGGTGGCATCCTATGACGGTGCCACGTTAAAAGTCACACTCTTCAGTAAGGCCATTCTACTGCCAATGATTGTGTATGGAGATTGCATGGCTGTGTGCTCGATTTTATACACCTGTCAGCAACGGGTGTGGCTGAAATAGCCGAATCCACTCATTTGAAGGGGTGTCCACATACTTTTGTATATATAGTGTATGTATCTACACTGAGTGTACAAAACATTAGGAACACCTGCTCTTTCCATGACAGACTGCCGAGGTGAAAGATATGATCCCTTATTGATGTCACATGTAAAATCACTTCAATCAGTATAGATAAACAGGAGGAGACAGGTTAAAGAAGGATTTTCAAGCCTAGAGACATGGATTGTGTATGTGTGCCATTAAGGGTGAATGGGCAAGACAATTGATTTAAGTGCCTTTGAACAGGGTATGGTAGTAGGTGCCAGGCCCACCGGTTTGTGTGTTTCAAGAACTGCAACGCTGCTTGGTTTTTCACACTCAACAGTTTCCTGTGCGTGTCAAGAATGTTCCACCATCCAAAGGACATCCAGCCAACTTGGCACAGCTGTGGGAAGCATTGGAGTCAACACGGGCCAGCATCCCTGTGGAATGCTTTCGACACCTTGTAGAGTCCGTGCCCACGACGAATTGAGGCTGTTCTGAGGGCAAAAAGGGGTGCAACTCAATATTAGGAAGGTGTTCCTAATGTTTTGTACACTCAGTGTCTGTGGAAGCAGCAGCACTCTATTGTCCAAATCAAATTTTCCCTCGGGGACAATAAAGTATATCATATATCGTGTTCCTGCGAAGCTTTTCTATAACATGGAATACAAAGTATAACACCAGAACCAAAGTTTAATTTTGTCCCCTAACAACCTACTTAAAGCAACAGCATTCAATAATCAACTGAGATAGAACCACACATTACTGAACAACAAACACCATCACCCAGTACAAATGGTAACATAATAATTTACTGAGAGCTTTAACAACATGAATACAAAACACACAGTGCAAACTTAAACTGCTGAAAGTTCGCTAAAATAAAAGGTAGTATGCAGCTGTGTACTGTTTGAATGTCTATGTTGACCTGGATACCATGCTTTAACAATATTGATGTTAAACTATAGGGGAAAGCTGTGCCTGAACAGAAAATACTGGTAGCCTTTTAGCAATGCAACACAAACACACAGGAACGCAAACAAGGAACGGAAACAGCTCATAATGGTCAGTATAGAGGCAATAGGGTGCTCTTTCATGCTTGCCCGAGGTGTGTTGTTAGTGAAGAATATGGTCGTCACATACATACAGGGTGGTGCATGGAAACAGGAGTAAAACTGTATTTGTAGAGTATTGTACTGTATTACAGGGATTGACATTAAAATGTGCTAGGCACTTGTCCGAAGATTCTGATTACTTGCCCCCCAAAAATGATTTGCTATTTACACGCAGTAGTGCCATATATTGCCTGCCTTTCACCTACACATAGGGGAGGAACCAGAAAGATCAGTACTGGAATTCTTTGTATTTTCAAAATATTAGCGGCTGGCTAAATTTGCCCGACTATAAATGCGATAAATTCTCTGTCTTTTCCTTAAACAATCAGGAGGAACCAGAAAGATCCGTTTTAGACTACTGGAATTATTTGCTGTTTGGTTATTTTAACACAAAACATTTCTTTACAAAAAAATCACCTGCCCAATAGTGAAACCTCAGTGCAGGCTCAACTTGCGCGACTGCTAAATTCACTTGCCCAAGGAAATAGGGCAACCCTTGATGTCAATCCCTGGTATTATATATTCTAGATTGTGCAGGTGCACATCTCAGCTGTGTAGGAATGCCAAAGCATCAGCCACGTAATCCTGTGCCAGTCTATTAAGTCTACAGGTCTGACACATGTCATTCATAAATTGAGAAATTAAACATTTCAGCACTTGACTTAAATCTCTGATCTTCAGTTCTGACGCGTTAAAATTATAAAAATGAAAAAAGTGCAGAAAACCCATTCTCACGATAGGACTGAGTAATGACGTTTCATGAGATCCGTGAAAACAGATCAGAATCAGATGTTTGATAAAACAGATGACAAAAGTGCTGAGAACCAGCTGGTAGTGAACCTCACACTGATCCAGCACACTTTCTAAACAACTCATTTATACTGTAGTAACACCTGTACTTACAAAAATGTACTGATTTTCATTTGGAAAAACCTGCATATTTAAACATGCGAGGTATTTTCTTTCTTTCTTTTGACAACTACTGTCCGGTTTCCTCATTTCCTTATTCCCATGAATCTCTCCTCCTCCTTTGAGGAAGTAAACTAGCAGGTCAACCCAAAAAAATGTGTGGAAGGAGGGAGAAGAGCAAACCTCTTTCAAATCAATCATTATTTTTTCATTCAGCAAAGTGGGCGCCTTAAAGCAGAGATATACACCTAACTTCTGACCCCTTCATCTCTTGAGTAGTGTCTAAGGAGCCAGAGTCCTTTTGCAAAGCACAAACACACACAAATGCGCAAACACGCACGCACTCACACAAAAGCGCAAACACTCACGCACTCACACACACTTTAATAATGTCATTTTGGTGGGTCACTTCCGGCATCCGACTTCCCTTCCTCTCTCAACTTCCTGGTTGTGTCCTCTACTTCCCCCTTTTGGACCGCCCCCTGCGGCCTCTGCCTATGGCGGAGGGTCCTGGGGCGGGAGTGGCTGCTGCGCCGATGTTGATGTGTCCTTCCTGTATCTCAGTCCTGGTCTCTGGAGGAAGACCTTCTATCTGCTGCTGGGTCTCCAGGTAAAACATCACATCTCTCAGCTGCTCCTGGAGCTCTGCTATCACCCCGTCCTTACGCTCGCCTGGAGGAGGGAGATAGGATGTTTAAATAATATTGTCATCCATTACACACCCAGATAGAGATTATATCCACAAAGTAGGGCTCTAGTCTCCCTCTGACTCACCTAGAATTAGGTTCTAGTCTCTCCCTCCCCCTCTGACTCACCCGTCTCTCTTGCCTTGCGCTCCTCCTCGGCCAGCTGGGCCTGTAGTTGAACCTGATTGGCTCGCAGACAGCGGTTCATTTCCTGTTCCTCCTTCAACTCCTGACCAAGCTTCGTCACACGGGTCGACAGCTGACCACACCTGGGGGGACACACACACACACAGACAGAGAGAATGGGGACATACAGCATGAATATGTACCTACCACCCACAGAAAGATGGTGCTACCGAGACACACAGATTCTCAATAACAAATAGTTGTTAGAGTATGGCGCTTGTAACGCCAGGGTTGTGGGTTTGATTCCCACGGGGGGCCACTATGAAAAATGTATGCACTCACTAACTGTAAGCCGCTCTGGATAAGAGCGTCTGCTAAATGACTAATATGTATATGTAGAATGATGACGTACAGCATGACTATGTACCACAAGCAGATTCTACAGATTCTAACATTCTAATGTGTCAGGATGATTGACAGCTGCAGTGTGAGAGGCTCCACCTACTTCTTGTCCATGCTCTGTTTGTCTTTGGCCAGCTCTCCCAGCCGACGCTCCAGGTTATCACAGCGATCTATGGTCTCCTTAAATTTGGCCTTCATGTTGTTGATCTAAAACACACACAGAGCATGAGCGTACGCACACACCAAGCATACATTAATCAGACATTCAGCTGGACAGATGCGTACACACACACACACTCCAAACACATGTACACACTTAGGTGAATGGACAGATAGACATGCAGCATCGATTCCTACCTCCTCCGCTGTATCCTTCTCCAGGTGAACTATCTTATTCTCCCAGTAAATGCGCTGGGACTCCAGTTGACTCGTTAGCAGGTAAGAGTACTGCAGGAAGAGGAAAGATCATTCTGGGGGAGACAAATCTTCTGTAACACCTGTGTGCCATGTTAACTAACAATAGGTGTCACACTTTTTTGCCATATTATATAACACCTCAAACTGTAAGGTGATATAATTACATTCAAATGTAAAATAGGGTGTCACACACACACACAAACTTGTTTTACTATCCTTGTGGAAACAAAAAAAGTATTCCCATTCAAAATCGTATTTTCCCTAACCCTTAACCTAACCAACAACATTGTAAGCTAAACGTTCTGATCTGTTGCATCAGCTTAATCACTCTAAAACGTTTTTTTGATGCGAGTGGTTGTATTAATTTGGGATCTCTCTCATCCCACAACTGTCCCAGAGTATGTTTGGAATATTTATTTATTGCACAGAATGACAAGTTGACCAATAGAATAGGTCAACTTTTGTACTATGGGGGATAGTAGATTGACATAGGCTAGTGGTATTGCTGTTCGTTAGGCCTACTCATCTTGTTAGCTAACGAAAAGTAGGCTAAATGTGGACAGTTCTTCTAACATCTTCAATATGCGCCTCGGAATTCGCGCAGTTGCGTCCCCGATGTGTCTGTCTTCACTTGTAGCCTACTTCTTAGCTGAGATGCCTGTGAGAAGGACCCGATCACGTGACGGGCATTGGCTAATAAGAATTGAGATAGTTGAGAGAGCCATGTGAGTGAGAGGTGCTTCGGAGCACGGCAGCCGAGAATTATATTTATTATATTCAGCCCAAGGGCAAAATGGCCACTTTGGCCGCAAAAGGCATGGATTTTTTAGGGGGCATTACGGCCACACACCTACCGCCAGGAAATTTGAGGCTTGGTGAGAATATTATCAAGAGCTTGTCAAATTGTGAATGAGAGAATGATGAAGTGTGTGCAGCCTGCACAAGAAACAAAGCAGAGCTCATGCCTTTCATGCAACTTTTAAAAAATCATCATTAGAGTCGCATCATGCAGCCTCAAAACATATAGCCCAACGTTTGAATCACAACTAAAGTTGCATAAATAACTCTAAATGAAGCATATAGGAGGACCTGTTTATTTGTTAACCGCTCAACACAGAATAGCCGCATGTGTACACTTCCTTGGAAATCGTTTGGAGAAAACATCCTTTCTATTTTATTCAGCTATGTTCAATTGTATTCTTTATACTATAAAATAATATAAAATAATGCCACGGAATTCTAAGCAAATCTTGTCTGCTAAATGAACTAGTGTAGCCCACAGCCATATGGCATAGCCAGATCAGGGCCTAACATTTACTTTTTTTACATTCTAGTAATTTAGCCGACACTCTTATCCAGAGCGACTTACAGTTAGTGAGTGCATACATTTTTTCTTTTCAAACTGGCCCCCCGTGGGAAACGAACCCACAACCCTGGCGTTGCAAGTGCCATGCTCTACCAACTGAGCTACACGGGGCCCCTCAGAGGACAACTCAGAGTATGTTATTCTGTTCTTCTGAAATAGACTATACTTTCTTCATATCATGTTTCTTTAGACCTGTCTAAAATAAACAATGGATTTATTGTGATAGTGTAGGCTATATTAAATGGATTTATTAGACTTTTTTAAATTTAGACGTTCCAAAGGTCTGCATTAATGGCTTGTTGGCTATGCGTGGCTATGACTGCCACAGCCCTACCTCTGAGCATTAAAACTCATGGTACCCTTCGCCAGCTCATATCTGTGTGAAGCTGGATTCAGTGCTCGTCTGCATTAAAACCAAATATCGATCCAGGTTGGATGTGAGCAGAGATTAGGTGCGCACTTTCGACCACACCCCCTGACTTTCAAAAGCTCTGACGCAACATACATCAAGCACACCCATCTCATTAGTATGGGATGGTGAGTTGAGAAGACAAATCAGAAATACTGTTGTAATGTTTTTCAATTGACTGCCATAGCCCCAAATAAAGTAAACATTGGCTGTTAATTACCTAATTTTTTTCACATGGTTGGGGTCGTGAGAATTTTTTGATATCAAAATGGGGTCGTGGACCAAAAAAGTTTGGGAACCCTTGACCTAACCCCTAATTCTAGCCCTAAGCTTAAAATAGCCTTGTTCCTTGTGGGGACCGGCGAAATGTCCCCACTTGTCTGAATTGTCATCCTTGTGAGGACTTCTAGTCCCCACAAGGATAGTAAAACCAAAAACACACCTCTAATTGCAGTGCGTCTATCTTTTCCTCATGGCAGGTTTCTCCTTCACACCCATACTGAACCATCTTCCCATCAGTCTTACTGGCCACCAGCCTGTGAACATAGTTATCTACAATACAGACGCACGCACACACAATCAGTTAAGCACCTTCGCAGTGCTACACACAGTGTTTTATATACACTGGAGTTTAAATATACAGACAGAAGCCTGAACTCTACAGTCTGCTGTACCTCCAGCATAGTCCCAGACACGGTGGTTAGTGAGCTGCATGGCATAAGTGTGTTGCGTCTCTTCAAAGTGTTTGTAGGCATGACGACTGACGTAGCGACCACAGCCGATATGACCACAGATCAGACAGATCCACAGGTTCTGGAGGGGGAGGGGCATAGGAAGGAAAACATCAGCTGTGCTCATTTTTATACCAATAGCAACTGTAAATGACAGGAGTACCTGTAGAGATATGCAAATGTATGTAGTTTTAGTGTGTAAATAATGTGTTTACCTCCTGTACTCCACATTCAAAGCACTTGTTCTCCTCTACAGGCTCTGGGGTCTGGCAGTACCGACACACAGGACACCTGGAATAGAACAGTCAACACCTTTACACACACACATCAAAACTACCAGCTACCACTTTTTTTGTCCCCATGCTAAAACCCAATGGCATATTGTTCAAATGTGTCACAAAAGAACTCATCCAAAACACTGGGATAAAACAGCAGCACATGACGGTCATTCACTGGCCAGAGAGAGGAAGGATGGAGAAAGAAAGACAGGGCCATGTAAAGAGTAGGGCCGGGACGATACCAGTATCGCCATACTCGTTAGTATCCTCCTGGCATGGAAACAAAACACGAAAACAGCCCTAATGTTGGAAACAAACATCATTATGTTTGAGTCACATTTATTTATTTTCCAAGCTATAGCACACCATTTTTTACATACAGCAGGTTTTTAAAGGACCAAAGAGTGAGGTCTGCTTCGTGTTTTCATTTTTGCCATGGAAAAAACATTGCAATAGTGGTATCGTCCCGGCCCTAGTTGTGAGTTGAATGTGCTAGTATATACACTCACGAGGCGTCCTCCCAGCGTTGCAGACACAGGCTGTGGAAGCTGTGGTTACAGAGTGTAGTGAGAACCCCATTCACTGACTCGTCCATCCTCTCCAGACACACGGTACACTTAGGAAGCTCTGTCAGCTCCATCACTGGAAGACTGGCGCCCTTGGGGTGGGAGGGAGGGAGCGAGAGAAATATTATTATAATCTATGTCCTGCAGGTGCACTGCTAAGACAGTCTTCAGAGGTACTAGTGTACATACTGCACCTGCTCAGACTTCATGACCTCGGCTCTCTCCACATAGACCAGCTGGCAGACTGCATCCTCTATGGAGTTGAACGTACGGCCATTACACGCTGTGTAGAAACTATCTGCATCAGCCTGAAGGGGAGGGGGGGGTAGAGAGAAAGTGAGAGAGAGACCGAGAAAATAATTACACAGTTTATAAGCATACCTTAAAATACAACAAAAGCAGTGTTCTATGACCTTACTCATCTCACCTGGCTACTGAACTTAATCAGCACCATATACTGGTTAGGGGTGGAGTCTCGTATGATCTTCATGTGCTCCATGACATCATAAAAAGGTGCCACAAACTTCATGAGGTCGTGGCTGGTCATGGTGGAGGGGACGGTCAGGATACACAGCATGGCACTCCGACGCACGTCCTCAGTCAGTGATGTCATCTTGCTGCGACGGGACAGACAGGGGAAACCAAATTGTCTCAATGCCAGTGAGATATCTTGTCAATAAACTATAATATCTTTGGTGTACTGTAGTTACTAAGGATAGACTGTATGTATGTACACTGAACAAAAATATAAACGCAACATTCAACAAATTCAAAGATTTTACTGACAGTTAATATAAGAAAATCAGTCAATTTAAGTAAATTCATTAGGCTCTAATCTATGGATTTCACATGACTGGGAATACAGATATGCATTTGTTGGTCACAGATAACTTTTTTTTTTTTTAAGTAGGGGCGTGGATCAGAAAACCAGTCAGTATCTGGTGTGACCACCATTTGCCTCATGCAGCGCGGCACATCTCCTTCACATAGAGTTGATCAGGCTGTTGATTGTGGCCTGTGGAATGTTGTCCCACCCCTCTTCAATGGCTGTGTGAAGTTGCTGGATATTGGCGGTCCAGAGCATCCCAAACATGCTCAACGGGTGACATGTCTGGTGAGTATGCAGGCCATGGAATAATTGGGACATTTTTCAGCTTCCAGGAATTGTGTACAGATCCTTGCAACATGGGACCGTGCATTATCATGCTGAAACATGAGGTGATGGCGGTGGATGAATGGCACGACAATGGGCCTCAGGATCTCATCTAGGTATCTCTGTGCATTCCAATTGCCATCGATAAAATACAATGTGTTTGTTGTTTGTAGCTTATGCCTGCCCATACCCCACCGCCACCATGGGGCACTCAGCAAACTGCTCACCCACACAACGCCATACACGCACGCTGTCTGCCATCTGCCCAGTACAGTTGAAACCGGGATTCATCCTTGAAGAGCACACTTCTCCAGCGTGCCAATGGCCATCGAAGGGGAGCATTTGCCCATTTGAGTCGGTTACGACACGCCGAACTGCAGTCAGTTCAAGACCCTGGTGAGGACGACAAGCACGCAGATCAGCTTCCATGAGACGGTTTCTGACAGTTTGTGCAGAAATTCTTTGGTTGTGGAAACCCACAGTTTAATCAGCTGTCCGGCTGGCTGGTCTCAAACAATCCCACAGGTGAAGAAGCCGGAACATTAAGAACTGAAAGTGCAGTCACAAAACCCATCAAGCGCTATGATGAAACAGGCTCTCATGAGGAACGCCACAGGAACGGAAGACCCAGAGTTACCTCTGCTGCAGACGATAAGTTCATTACCAGCCTCAGAAATTGCAGCCCAAATAAATGCTTCACAGAGTTCAAGTTTTATTTTTGTATTTAACCAGGTAAGCCAGTTGAGAACAAGTTCTCATTTACAACTGCGACCTGGCCAAGATATAGCAAAGCAGTGTGATAAAAACAACAACACAGAGTTACATATGGGGTAAACAAAACATAAAGTCAAAAATACAACATAAAATATATATACAGTGTGTGCGAATGTAGTAAGTTATGGAGGTAAGGCAATAAGTAACAGACACATCTCAACAACTGTTCAGAGGAGACTGAATCAGGCCTTCATGTTCGAAATTGCTGCAAAGAAACCACTACTAATGGACACCAATAAGAGGAAGAGACTTGCTTGGGCCAAGAATCACGAGCAATAGACATTAGACCGGTGGAAATCTGTCCAAATTTGAGATTTTTGGTTCCAACCGCTGTGTCTTTGTGAGACACGGTGTGGGTGAATGGATGATCTCTGCATGTGTAGTTCCCACCGTAAATCATGGAGGAGGAGGTGTTATGGTGTGGGGGTGCTTTGCTGGTGACACTGTCTGATTTATTTAGAATTCAAGGCACACTTAACCAGCATGGCTACCACAGCATTTTGCAGCAATACGCCATCCCACCTGGTTTGGGCTTAGTGGGACTATCATTTGTTTTTCAACAGGACAATGACCCAACACACCTCCAAGCTGTGTAAGGGCTATTTGACCAAGGAGAGTGATGGAGTGCTGCATCAGATGGCCTGGCCTCCACAATCCCCCGACCTCAACCCAATTAAGATGGGTTGGATGAGTTGGACTGTGCAGTGACGGAAAAGCAGCCAACGAGTGCTCAGCATATGTGGGAACTTCTTCAAGACTGTTGGAAAAGCATTCCTCATGAAGCTGGTTGAGAGAATGCCAAGAGTGTGCAAAGCTGTCATCAAGGTAAAGGGTGGCTATTTTGAAGAACCTCAAATATAAAATATTTTGATTTGTTTAACACATTTTTGGTTACTACATGATTCCATATGTGTTATTTCATAGTTTTGATGTCTTCACTATTATTCTACAATGTAGAAAATAGTAAAAATAAAGAAAAATCCTTGAATGAGTAGGTGTGTCCAAACTTTTGATTGGTACTATACACACCCGTCGCTATGGGCGGGCCATAGGGGGCCGGGCCCGCCCCCAAAAATGCTTGTGCCCCCCCCCCCCCCCCCCCCCCCCCCACTTGAGGGAATGTATTATTAAATATATGTACTGTAGGCTAATAATAATTGTGCCCTGCCCTCCCATGCATTTCATATGTCCCCAATAAGACCGAGGTCTGGCGACGGGTCTGGTACTATATATGCCATTTAGCAGACACTTTTATCGACTTAGTCATGCGTGCATAGATTTTACGTATGGGTGGTTCCGGGAATCGAACCCACTACCCTGGCGTTGCAAGCACCATGTTCTACCAACTGAGCTAGTCTACTAAATGACTGAAATGTTATTGAAATATAAAGCCAAGGGGTTTAGACTGAGTGTTGCGTATAGCAGTAGAGACTCACTTGGTCTTGTAGAGGTGCATGATGCCGTGGACTATCTCCACTGAGGGGTTTCCACTGAAGAAGGAGATCTGGTCTGGAAGCTGCTTCGAGGGCGAGTCTGGAGCCATCTCTGTGCCATCGGCACTGCCCTCTGTAGTGCCCTCATTTGTAGTGCCCTCAGTAGGGTCCCTCCCGTCTGGTTGATTCTCTAGAGGTCGGGCTCCTCCACCCTCCTCTCTCTCTGCCCCAGTCTGCTCAACCTTTCCTTTATCTACAGAGGAGAGATGGAGGTTTAACTAGAGATTTCTATTCCTATGAAGTCTGACAGACACTCACAGGTGCATTTTCTTTAGTCAGTCATTATTTAATCTCAGAATGTCATAACACATCCAACCCCTTATAAACACACTCAGCATTTATTACAGAATTAATTAAACCCCAACAAACAATAATACATTGGTTAGTGTACAGAATTGCATTCATTGAATATGTAATCCATATAGCTACACCCTGATTTTTACCAGGGTTGGGTGCGAAGGTCTCGATGACCATGTCTCCCATGGCTCTGCTGCCGATATGCTGGTGTAGGACTGCTGCTCTCTCCAGCTCGGTCTTCCCACTCAGAGAAAGCCTGGCTGAGCCCAGAGCTTTCTCCTGCAAATCCTCCTCGGACATATCCTCAGCTACAGGGGCAGAGAGGGGGACAGGTAGAAAGAGGGAGACAAGGCAAACACAAAGCATCAACTTCTGGAACAATACAACACCTATTATCTTCATCCAAAACAGTGTGTGTGTGTAGATAATTTTCCATAATTGCTGAGTCACTCTAGTTACTCTGAGCCAAATATGTTCCAGAAAACGTAACCTGAGCAGGTTTCTGCTGCTTAGAGGGGAGAGTAACTTACTCTGATGCTGAGGCTCAGAATATTACATGTTTTAGCCTAGTTAGCTAGCTAGCTAGTCCTCATGCTCCTGTAAGGAAGAGTGCAAAAACAAACACCACATGTCACTGTGGACTAGCTCATTAACAGTAGCTAGCTAACTAGCTGATGTTAGTATCTAGCAAGTTGGTGACGTCGGTCATCAAACTGAAAAGATTAAACTTACCGGCGGTGTATTGGAAATCCTGTGGAGAGAGAGACTGGTCTGCGAGCTCCAGACGGATAACGACCAGTGATACACTCATGTGTTATGAAAGAATGACGATTCTTCTCGACGGAAAAACCGAACAAAAACAAAGACTGGCTGACAGCTAACTTACTAGCAAGTTACAGCTAACCTAGCTAGCAGCTACTTACGTCAGCACCTAAGTTAACAAGGCAAATGTCTGGCTAAAGAGAGGGATAAATGATGACGTTTAACGAAACACTAATATAACGACTTTTTAACGATCCCACACATACCACTGAATTATATAAAAATATGTATTTCAAAAATTCACCAGCTAGCTACGAAAATGGATCTGACCCCATGAAAACCTCTTCCGGGTTACTCAATTGACGTCATGATGAAACTACGTTTGCCTAGGAATAATAATAATAATAATAATAATAACTAAAGAAGAATAACTGGAACTGCGTCCAAGATGTCCGACCGTTGTTTTCAAGGTAATCTACACACGTTCACATACGCCGATTCATGGTATCAACTAGTTACCACAACCACAATGTCCAAATTGGCTATATCGTAAAAATTCATGAAAACAAATATTAATTTATGGTTAGGCATAAGGTTATCAGTGTGGTTAAGGTTAGGTTTGAAATCAGATTTTAAGGAGATCAATTGTAAAAATGGACGGGGTTTATTACTTTGTGGCTGTGGTAACTAGGGACGACCCCGATTCATGGACGTCTATTTCCGGGTTTCCGGTTTACACCAAATATTTTGGATATACTGACAAGAGACATGTCTCTCCGCCCTAACGATGGGAATCGTTGTGCACAAATGGCACGGCGGGCTGCCTAGCTCCTGCCTATCCTTTCTTTGGATTGGTTGATACATCTCATTATCCTATTTGAATATTCGATGAGGGTTGTTGACGTCAACCGCCTTTATTCAATGGAGAGAGAGCCTCATGGCATGAATATGTATCGCCATCTCGAGACAACTCTGATATAAAGTGTTTTTTCCTCAAAGTCGCAGGTATGTCACGTGTCCTACTTATATCAGTACATTTGTAACAACGTAAGCATTACGAAACTTCTATTCGATCAAATAAACCTCAATTCGCAAATAAGCCATACATTATTTGGTTGACCAAATTCGACACCCTCATTGACCTCTATACAAAAACGCCTTGCTTGGTGGACGAAAAAACGCCACCTGCTGGAGGGAGACAGATTTTCCGCGGAGTTGGGCCTCTCTCTTCCTCTCTGTTTATACGGACCAACATCAAATGCGCACTAGCACCAAAGATTGTTTATAACTAACCCAGTGCGCATTTATAGGCTTTCAAGTAGATGTAGCTGCAGCCGACCGGAGTATGTTCAAGTGGGTGTGTCGAAAGCGGTGGATATATGGAAAGCGAATCAGCAAATTTTGCAGATTTGTTGTCACTCAAGACAGTTTGGCGTGGCTGATTGGGCTGCACGATGTGCAAAGGTGCAAATGGGTATCATTGACGTAGCTAACGTGCCCTTTTTTCTCTCACATTATTTTTTTTCAAGTAGGATATCGGCCTCCACAAGAAATAACTCATATTGATAACCATCTAGATGTCACCTTGATATATACAGTACCAGTCAAAAGTTTGGACACACCTACTCATTCCAGGGTTTTTCTTTATTTGTACTATTTCTACATTGTAGAATAATAGTGAAGACATCAAAACAATTAAATAACACATATGGAATCATGTAGTAACCAAAAAGTGTTTAACAAATCAAAAATATTTTATATTTGAGATTCTTCTAAGTAGCAACCCTTTGCTTTGATGACAGCTTTGCACACTTTTTTTATTTTATTTTTATATTTCACCTTTATTTAACCAGGTAAGCGAGTTGAGAACAAGTTCTCATTTACAACAGCGACCTGGCCAAGATAAAGCAACGCAGTGCAATAAAAACAACAACACAGAGTTACATATGGGGTAAAACAAAACATAAAGTCAAAAATACAACAGAAAATATATATACAGTGTGTGCAAATGTAGCAAGTTATGGAGGTAAGGCAATAAATAGGCCATAGTGCAAAATAATTACAATTAGTATTAAAACTGGAATGATAGATGTGCAAGAGATGATGTGCAAATAGAGATACTGGGGTGCAAATGCGCAAAATAAATAACAATATGGGGATGAGGTAGTTGGGTGGGCTCATTTCAGATGGGCTGTGTACAGGTGCAGTGATCGGTAAGGTGCTCTGACAACTGATGCTTAAAGTTAGTGAGGGAGATAAGAGTCTCCAGCTTCAGAGATTTTTGCAATTCGTTCCAGTCATTGGCAGCAGAGAACTAGAAGGAATGGTGGCCAAAGGAGGTGTTGGCTTTGGGGATGACCAGTGAGATATACCTGCTGGAGCGCATACTACGGGTGGGTGTTGCTATGGTGACCAATGAGCTAAGATAAGGCAGGGATTTGCCTAGCAGTGATTTATAGATGGCCTGGAGCCAGTGGGTTTGGCGACGAATATGTAGTGAGGACCAGCCAACAAGAGCGTACAGGTCACAGTGGTGGGTAGTATATGGGGCTTTGGTGACAAAACGGATGGCACTGTGATAGACTACATCCAATTTGCTGAGTAGAGTGTTGGAGGCTATTTTGTAAATGACATCGCCGAAGTCAAGGATCGGTAGGATAGTCCGTTTTACAAAGGCATGTTTGGCAGCATGAGTGAAGGAGGCTTTGTTGCGAAATAGGAAGCCGTTTCTAGATTGAACTTTGGATTGGAGATGCTTAATGTGAGTCTGGAAGGAGAGTTTACAGTCTAACCAGACACCTAGATATTTGTAGTTGTCCACATACTCTAGGTCAGACCCGTCGAGAGTAGTGATTCTAGTCGGGTGGGCAGGTGCCAGCAGCGTTCGATTGAAGAGCATGCATTTAGTTTTACTAGTGTTTAAGAGCAGTTGGAGGCTACTGAAGGAGTGTTGTATGGCATTGAAGCTTGTTTGGAGGTTTGTTAACACAGTGTCCAATGAAGGGCCAGATGTATACAAAATGGTGTCGTCTGCGTGGAGGTGGATCTGAGAGTCACCAGCAGCAAGAGCAACATCATTGGTATACACAGAGAAAAGAGTCGGCCCAAGAATTGAACCCTGTGGCACCCCATAGGTCCAGACAACAGGCCCTCCGATTTGACACATTGAACTCTATCTGAGAAGTAGTTGGTGAACCAGGCGAGGCAGTCATTTGAGAAACCAAGGCTATTTAGTCTGCCAATAAGAATGCGGTGGTTGACAGAGTCGAAAGCCTTGGCCAAGTCGATGAAGAAGGCTGCACAGTACTGTCTATTATCGATCGCGGTTATAATATCGTTTAGGACCTTGAGCATGGCTGAGGTGCACCCATGACCAGCTCGGAAACCGGATTGCATAGCGGAGAAGGTACGGTGGGATTCGAAATGGTTGGTGATCTGTTTGTTAACTTGGCTTCCAAAAACTTTCGAAAGGCAGGGCAGGATGGATATAGGTCTGTAACAGTTTGGATCTAGAGTGTCACCCCCTTTGAAGAGGGGGATGACCGCGGCAGCTTTCCAATCTCTGGGGATCTCAGACGTTACGAAAGAGAGGTTGAACAGGCTAGTAATAGGGGTTGCGACAATTTCGGCGGCTAGTTTTAGAAAGAAAGGGTCCAGATTGTCTAGCCCAGATGATTTGTAGGGGTCCAGATTTTGCAGCTCTTTCAGAACATCAGCTGTCTGAATTTGTGTGAAGGAGAAGCGGGGGGCAAGTTGCAGCCAGGTGGAAAGCATGGAAAGATTTATCGGTGGTGATAGTGTTTCCTAGCCTCAGTGCAGTGGGCAGCTGGGAGGAGGTGCTCTTATTCTCCATGGACTTTACAGTGTCCCAAAACTTTTTGGAGTTAGTGCTACAGGATGCAAATTTCTGTTTGAAAAAGATAGCCTTTGCTTTCCTAACTGCTTGTGTATATTGGTTCCTAACTTCCCTGAAAAGTTGCATATCGCACCATATCGTCGCTATACCCCCTCCCTTAGAATTGAAAGGCCATTTCCGGCAACCTGATTGGTTAAAATGCCTCACGTGACCCGCTGCACTTCCTTGTTTGAAAATATCTCCCGCGAAGATGCCACGTAAAGAGAGACAAAATGAGAAAATCTCGAAGAATATACCTACAGTATGTGAATAAAAATAGGCGATCTCAGTTCGCCAATGCGAGAAAAGCAGTGAATGAAAGAAAAAATTATCCTGATCAGCCGATCGAGGCAGTGGCAGTACAGGTAGAGGAGGAAAAGGATGTAGCCGGCAGCAGCGCGTCGAGACGCAAATTAGTTGAGATGAAGATGACAGCTTGCAGCGATCAACCAGACAGCAGCCAGCCAACAGTGGCTTTTATTCCACACGTCTCAAATAAACCAACTTGTACATCATTTGATTTGCCATAAGTGTCTAAACACTGGACTGAAAATCACCATAGACCCCACCAACCAGGGATTCTGTAATTCTGTCATGATAGAATGTGCACACTGTGAAGGTGATCGTGATGCATTTAGGAGTGTTTACACTTCGTCCAGGCTGCAGGAGTGCTCCAGAGGAGATGTGGCATTTGATATAAATGTGAGGATGGTTCTTCTAGCCCACGAACTTGGACTTGGTTATGCAGCTCTAACGAAAATAAGCAAAGTCCTAGGGATTCCTTCCTTGCGTCTCAGCTCATATCAGAGACATGACAGGTAAATAAAAAGGGAGCGTAGCCCATTATTGTCAGGTGACTTGCTGTGTATAAATAACATTTATTTCCTTGCTCCAGCAAATGTATTTGAAGTGAATAAAACAGAGTGATAGGAAAACATAACTATACAATGAGACTATCACATAGGCCTACAGTGTCATAGGGCTGTAGCCTAATGTGATTAGTGAGAAATTAGCTTTACATAAAGTAAATACATGCTGATATGCTAATATTTACATAGGGTAACATGCTGATATTTAGTCCTGCAGTTATGACTCTAATGTCGACAGACATAATAAGTACTTTTCCCCCCACTTTAGTTGCAGAGATTCAGAGAGGGCTACAGTCAATGGAGAGTGCTGCAAAGCTAATTAGGGGAGAGTTTGCACTGCAAGCCGGCAACACAACAACATGAGGCAGTATCGTTCGCTCCTGCTTGTAGCAGTAAGGAGCGGGAAGTAGCTAGATAGTGTAGCCACATGCATAAACTAGCTAGCTGGGAAGAATTCATCGGGACGATAGACTGAACCGAATCCTTTATGTAAGGTCTGTATTTCGTGTAGGCTTACCCTGGCGTGACGTTTTGATAACTGCGCAAATCTATCTCAGACAAGGTCACTTTTATCAATAATTGGCATAGCGAATTTTTGAGAGTAAATTGAGGCGAAT